TGTCAATTTCACATTGTCTGATGGAACAGATATGTTTCTATTCTAGTTATTCCAGCTGTATACACAGGCTGTAAAGTAGCTTTAATTCATGCATTTAAGTATACATTCAAATTTGTCCCAAAGCATATTTGAAGGCTTTAAGTCAATTTTCCTCTGTTTTGCATGTGTAACTACAGTAATTGTGTATTGGGCTCTGAGTCCTTCCAAAATGTGGTTGACTTACAACTCAGTAGTGTGTCTTAATACGTCCTTTGTAGAAACAAACCAAGCACTGGAGCTCCTGCTGCTGTTTGCCATCATTCTGCTCCTTTTGTGTAGACACGGTGGGACTCTACAGGCTTAATTTAGTCAGAAGTGCTATGGATCCTATTTTCAGAAGGTATTACTCGGGATAATTCAGTCCAGATATAACCTCATAAACTTAAGAGACCACTGTGACAAAAAAAAAAGCCTTTGGAACTATAGCTACTTTTAGTAGCAGTAAATCTGCATTGTCTGTGCTGCATGACTAGATCGGATTTGCCTTGGAACAACACAGCCAGTTACTGGTGTACCATGAGCATCAAGTCATTCTGCACTGTCATCATTTGACTGTATGATGACGACATGACATGACATGATTCTAAAAAATCACCTTACAAGCAACTTAGCTTAAACTTAACCTAATAAACCCAGATCAATCACAAGAAGATGAGCATTCCAAAATCAAGAGAGTGGCATTTGGCTGCACACACACATAACAACCACATTCATACTCAAGACCTTCCCTTAAGCAAATACAAATGCAAACTGACAAACCAAAAAAGTGGGCAGCCAGCTTGATGGGGAAAGTAGGGAAATGGGTATCAGCAAGATGTTCTCACTGTTATTTACTCCAAGACATACAGATTATAACTGAGTGTTAAAAATACAGAATACTGAAATAAACAAAATTAAAGGTCAAAATAAATCATGTAAATTAACCCCACTATTAGGTTTACCCCTTGTCTGTCCAATCTAAGATGATCTATACAAGGGATTTTCCCTCATCTACAGATGTAAGTTTTAAAAAAGTAAAAGTATGGGCAAAAGTTGCTACTGTAAAGTGGACAGCTGGTGTTTGAAAAGACTTCATTTTTTTCTAAATATAAGCACATTTAGCAGTTTAAAATACAAATCAAAACACATCAGATTTCTCTGTGTTTCATTTTGAAATCATCAGTGAAATTTGACATTTTATTGAACAGAGAAGGACAATGTTCATCAAGTCCTAATGGATACACAAATTCTAAGTCTTTTAGATATGGTTGTCCTGAGCAATGTATATTAAGTTAAACTGTGAGAAAACACAGGCAGAAGAGCCACTGTCAATGTGAAACATGCAAGTGCTACAAGCTTAATACGGAGCGGTTAAGGGACAGTATATTTACAAATTAACAAGCATACAATTAATACAAGTGCTATGGCATTCTGCTGACCTGGTGATGTACAACACAGCTCGTAAATATATCACTGCAAGGCGTGCAGCCCGCGTTGGAGAATATGCATAATATAAAGCCTGGTTCAAGTCAAACCACTGTAGACGGATTGTAAACTTGCACCAGCACAGTACACTGCATATCACATTAAAATCTGACAACACTGGAAATTGTTCTATTGGTGGACGAGATACCGCATCCAAAATGTACTTCTTGGAACGAAGTTCATCACATCACACCTGGGTTTGACAACTTCCAATACATTCGAAACCACTAAAGAGCTATCAAACTTGCGTACGACTACTCATATAAAAGATTTTAAATTTCAGCTACAAACAGTACATTAGAGTGACAATGAACAACTGTCGTCTGTCAACCACCTGAGTCTATAACGTCACCACTCTCTATTACTGCATAGGTTTCGTTTAATTGCATTTAAATCGTAGCTTCCACTAAGCGCGTTCAATACTTAGTCAAGCAAGTAAGCCACAAGGTAAGGCCACTCACTTTAGCTAGTAGGCCTTCACTCAGATGTAAATTGCCCAGCTTTCTAAACACAGGAGCATTTTTTAATTACATCCAATAATGACAAACACAGCTCTGTAGCTGAGTGCGGCTTCCAACAAGTTAGCCACAGCAGCTAACCAGTACCAACAGACTCAACAGCAGGCACAAGATGCTACAACCATTCTTGCCAATGTCAGATGACGTTATCTAAGCAGCTAGCAACTGACAGGATAGACAGCTAGCCTACTATTATATGCCTAACCTTTGCAAAACATCGCCCACACACAGCAAAAAGGATACAGTTTGAAGCCCTTCAAAATTTCCTTGGCCCTGTCTTCGTCTGAAGACATGTCAGAAACCGTTTGTTTTCGTTCCGCACAGACAACTTACAATTTGTAGAAATAACTAAGCCGCTGTTCACGTTAGCTCAACTAGTTAGCTAACTAGAGTGCTAGTTAACAATAGCCCAGAATAGCGTTCACTATGTGTACTTCACTCTGTACTTTAGGTCTGCAGGTTAATTCTGATCCGATAATGCAATCAGCTAAATATACCCAGCTAACGAACAGACAGCTACTGTAGCCAGTAAAGGCAACGGGAACTTCCACCAGCCAATCACAAGGACAGTATGAATTAGGGGTGGGACTAAAGTGGATAGAGACGCGTCACCAGTAGCAACGCCGTACACCATGGATGTTGCAATAACACGCGCTGCATGAAGGGACCAAATTGCCGCGGTCCGTGTGTCGACAACTTCTTTTATCTTCCAAAAAGTACACATCTCTGTGATCTGGAAAATGAAAATCCTTAGTCGGAAATTCTGATATAAAAAACTGAGAAGACGAAGTTTAAGTTTGGCTCTGTAGAATGTAAGGAAACACATGCTTTAGCAACCCAACCCAAACCAGCTACTCATTAAAATTTCACGGGTTCGGGTGCCTATCCACCCTGTCTCATGAAAATCGGCCTGGCAGTTTTTTTAAATGATCCTGCTGACATATAAACGGTAATAAACACATCAAGTTTTGCCAGCAGCAATTAGGAGTTGCAGGTATGCAAGCAAATCTTATTCTGTGTACCAGTGGCGGTTTAGACTAATTTACCTGGGTGGCAGTGTTTAATGACAGGGGTACATTTAAAAAATGACAATAATTATATTTAAGCACTAAAAACTTAACAACAGTAAAATAAAATATGTATAGTATATTATATACTACTAATACAATAACACATATATATTTAACCCACAACCACTGCTGCACCATTGACCCTGTTACACATACATCTCAATTAGCAAGCAACGTTAACCATCCATATTTAGCATGGGCCTCTGCAGGCCCTCTGCTGCCTACATTTAAAATTTTCTTGAATACAAAATCCACATCTATATTTCCTAGTTAAGAAAAGAAAAAAACGGAAAGAAAGAAAAACTTTAAGTCTGAGACACACACTTTTGGGTTGAATGAATTGCACCAACAGGTATTTTTCTATTGTGTAACTAACTAACCTGTGGTAATGCATTGTTTTTGCTTGTGGGCAGACAGAATTCTTATGGCTATGAAAGGTCAAAGTAAGGATGCTACAAAAATAATAAAAAATATACCATTAACATCTGCATATTATTCGCCCCATACCATGCATTTCTATTCCAAGTCTGTGCTGCATCCTAGCTTTAGAAATTCATCTGCTTTGGATTCTGTTTATTTCCCCTCTGACAAAGTAAACCAAGCTACACTATTGTCTAATTGAATCTGTCACATTTGCTAAGGGATTCCTTACTGAGGGCTGTACTACAAATCAAGTTTGACATAGCCGGGCTTTCTTTGTGTAAGTCAGTTCAACAAAAACTAAAGCCCCAGTCAGCAATAACAGGTAACACAAAGGTGGTTTTCAACTTTCTTTGATAACTCAGGCTTTCTGCTGTGTGAACTCTGTGTGCGTTCGCATGAAAGGGGCCGTTTAACGCATCATGTGACTCTTCTTCTGCACAAAATGTGCTGATTGTGTGTGACCTACAACACAACAGGATGTTTTAATAGAGAAACATGAGAAATATAAGAATTTATGACTTAGACTTTTAAAAGCACTGCTATTGCAAATGATACAGTACAGAAATGCTGGTAGAAAACTGTTAATCGTTTGTTAAAACATTTACCAATTCGCCATTGGTGTATGAATGTGTCTGTGAATGGGTGAATGAGAAAACACTGTAAAGTGCTCTGAGTATCACCAAGGTAGAAAAGCACTATGCAAGTGCAGACTATTTACCATTTAACTGATCACTGGAACTGCTTATGACTGACAGCTGCACCTTATAGCTTTTAAACTTCATATATTTAATTTTTTTATTTTTTGTTTTTTCCTGTGTCGTATCTGTGTACGTCTGTTGAAAGCTGCTGTCAACGATGTGAATTTCTCCACCGGGAGATAAATAAAGGCATATCTTATCTTATCTTATCTTATCTTTAAACACGATCTCGTATTGAAGTGCTTTTCGGTCTGACGCTGTCTCATTATGCAGGATATCACTTTAATTTTTGGCCAAATCAAAGTGAAATTAGTTTTATTGATTGAATATTCTCTGTGAAAAATTCCAATAGACTAATCCATTTTCTAATCTGTTCTCACAGCTGCATGACCAGCAGTGTAAATGGTTTTGGCAGCACATCAGGACCAAACAAAAACATTTTTATGTGATTTCTGCATCACCAGCTGAATACGTGTTGGACTCCCATGACAACATGATGCATACAGTAACTGCACAGCTCCATTCGATGGGATTAGTAATGTAGAGATCAATAAGTCTGCATATAGTCAGGTCCATAAATAATTAGACATTGACAGAATTTTCAGCATTTTAACTCTGTACACCACCAGAATGGATTTGAAATGAAACCATCATAATGTGCATAAAGTCCAGAGTTTCAGCTTTAATATCGAGGGTATGTACATCCGAACAGTGTAGGAATTACAGCACATTTTATATGTGGCCTCCACATTTTAAAGGGACCAGAAGTATTTGGACAAACTAACATCCTCAGAAATGAAATCGTCGCATTTACTTTCTGCAGTCACTGACAGAATGAAGTCTTGAACCCACAGACATCAGCAGATGCTGGGTTTCATCCCTGGTAATGCTCTGCCAAGCTTCTACTGCAGCTGTCTTTAGTTCCTGCTTGTTCCTGGGGCATTTTCCCTTCAGTTTTGTCTTCAGCAAGTGGAATGCATACTTAGTTGGATTCAGGTCAGGGTTTGTGAATCCATCTCTGAGGCGTACTCATATGAAAGAGGCGGAGTTGGCAACAGATGATTGATCACAGACAGGGACTGATCTACCGGCACCAGAGTGACATATTTTACAAATTAAGAGTTAACTATAATATTAGAAAAATATAAATATTTTAAAATTATAATACAGACTGAAAGTAAAACAACTAAACCAGAAGGAAAAGCTGAAAAAAAACTGCAGACTGTGTTAATGTAAACAGGCTTATCGATGTTACTACCAAATTATTAGAGCACGAGTAGATCTGACTATAATTACAACTGTGTATTCTATTAAATGAACATGTTGCTTAACTGCATTGTTCTGGCTGCAAGAGTTCTATTGCTTCAGCTGCAACCTTGCAGTGTACAAGTTGCTCAGATGAAGGTTTCTTATTCATGATTCAAGAGTCAGTATAATTATCACTATGAATCACAAGATTGTACAACAAAACTATTTTAATGGTGATGTGGACCATACCCCTTTTCCACCAAGAAGAACGAGGTGCTAGTGCCAGTGCTTAGTAGGTTCAAATCTCGCACCTCCTAATAACATGTTTGCTTTTTCATTGGCAAGGAGTCAAGTTGAAGCCACACTATTGTGTCACTGTAAGCTGCCAGTACATCACAGCATACGTGGCCGTTTCTGGTCCCTGTAGTCCTTTTTCAGTTTCTTGAGTTTCTTGAGGAGTTGGTGGAGGCTCCACTCGTACCTGGCTGCAGCCATCTCCTGTTGGATTTTTTTCAAACACAGGCTTGGTCTGAGAGGCTCCCTCTAACTTCATTTTGGATTTCAGTTGAATACCACAGTACCAGGAAGCACTGGCTCTCCTCCTCAGACCACTGCTGCTTGGATTTGGGGTCCATTTTTACCTATTTAGTTTTTCAAAAATGTAGCTACTCGCTCGGGACTTGTTTTAAAAATGACGGTTCTGTTTCCACCGGTCTCATTGGTCATGATAACCCCACCCACAGCCTGACATACTTGGTTCTTGAGCAACAGTTTTGAGAACCTGGAGCCGGTGCTTAAGTGGTGGAAACACAAAGAACTGGCGCTAACTCAGGCTCTGGCACCGAACTAGCACTGAAACCAGCTCGGTCGAAAACAGGTAGCAGTAATGTCACATTAAGTTTCATTCCTTTGGCTGTAGGACAGTTTAAGGCTCATACTTTCAGCTGCTGAAATGGTTTGGGAACAACTAAAGAACAAATGCAAAACTGTAATTTAAATCAACAAAAGGCTTATTTCCAATCTCATAAGGTCAACAATCAGGCTACGAGACATCTGTCTTCTTGTATTTTTTTTTTTTTAGGATTATATCGCTCTACAAAGTCAGACAGAACAATGAAATAGCTCTGAAATTACTTGCAGCTCTAAAAAACCCACATCCTCTCACTATCTGTGCACCATGCATCTCTGGATCTTTAATGCTCAAAAGATTTTCAAAAGAACTGATTGATCAGTAGGAGGCGCTTTTATATATGCTGATCTCATATCTGGAACATAACCTGAGGGCTGCACTACAAAGCCCTGGTGGGTTATCAAGGTATGTTGAGAGTAAATTCAGTTTTCAGTATCACAAATGTGGCTCTCCTCTTACCTGGCTAGATCACCATGGTAACTAAAGGTGTGGAGGTAACCTGGTTGGAGCAGGTTATCAGTTTCAGATTTAAATCGCCTGGAAGAAGCCTCTACCTTTAACCAAATCTTTTCCTGAAAATTCTCTTAACGAGTGTGAAGTCACAAGCCTGAGTTAACAAAGAATGTTGAAAACCACCTTCATGACACCCCTGTTCTCTGACTGGGGCTTTAGTTTTTTGTCCAGCCTGACAATTATTTGAGCATCACGGATTCTATACTGAGGGACGATGTTATATTTGCAAACATGTTGAGCTGTGTGTTACTAATATTAATGAATGATGCTGTGCAGCTGCAGTATCGCACACTATACATGTGTTATGCTGCCAAAAGAACCTGATGTATTTAATTGGTGATGCAGAAATTGCAGAAATAAAACATATACTACTGAGAATATTCAATCAATAACATTATTTTCACTTTGATTTGGCTAAAGATGAAAGTAATATCCAGCATTATGGGACAGTGTGAGACCCAAATGCACTTAATGACAATATCATGTTTAAACAGCTTTAATGTGCAGCTGTCAAAAATGCACACACATCACTGTTCCCCATAAAACAACCTATTGACTTAAGCAGCTGCACATGATCGTTTCACTTTGTGCGGAAATAGGGTCACATTACATCTTAACCCTTCACCCCTGGGCGAACAACCTTAAACACAA